GAGAGTAGAGACACAGATAACTGCTCATATTGAATGTGAACTTTCAATCTGCAAGTGGTAAGAGAGTAGAGACACAGATAACTGCTCATATTGAATGTGAACTTTCAATCTGCAAGTGGTAAGAGAGTAGAGACACAGATAACTGCTCATATTGAATGTGAACTTTCAATCTGCAAGTGGTAAGAGAGTAGAGACACAGATAACTGCTCATATTGAATGTGAACTTTCAATCTGCAAGTGGTAAGAGAGTAGAGACACAGATAACTGCTCATATTGAATGTGAACTTTCAATCTGCAAGTGGTAAGAGAGTAGAGACACAGATAACTGCTCATATTGAATGTGAACTTTCAATCTGCAAGTGGTAAGAGAGAAGAGATAGCAAACCTAATTAACAGCCCAAAACCTGACATCATCTTGGGCACAGAAACGTGGCTGAATCCCTCCATTGCCAACGCACATGTTGTACCAGATATGTACAAATTATTCCGTCCAGACAGAAAAGACAGCGGAGGAAGAGTACTCTTTGCTGTCCATCACAACCTGGACTGCCACGCCATATATTTAAGATATGACACACATTTGTATATATTTAAGACATGACACACATTTGTATATATATAAGACATGACACACATTTGTATATATTTAAGACATGACATACATTTGTATATATTTAAGACATGACATACATTTGTATATATTTAAGATATGACATACATTTGTATATATTTAAGACATGACATACATTTGTATATATTTAAGACATGGCACACATTTGCATATATTTAAGACATGACACACATTTGTATTTATTTTAGACATGACATACACTCGTATATATTTAAGACTTGACATAAATTTGTATATATTTATAACATGACACACATTTGTATATATTTAATACATGACAAACATTTGTATATATTTAAGAAATGACACAAATTTATATATACTTAAGACAGGACATACATTTGTATATATTTTAGACATTACACACATTTGTATATATTTAAGACATGACATACATTTGTATACATTTAAGACATGACATACATTTGTATATATTTAAGACATGACATACATTTGTATATATTTAAGACATGACACACAATTGTATATATCTCTTTAATTTGTTGCATAAACAATTCTCTGTCTCTAAGTTTGTACAATTCAAATTGTATTCGAAATATAAATTAAATTAATTAATTGTGATTAAATATTGATAATAAGATGTCCGAGGGGTCGGGGGGGGGGTGGGTGGGGGCGAGGGGCGTAGAGTGAGTGAGAGAGAGTCAAACAATAGGAAGTAGGGGGTGAAAGTACAGAAATGGTAGGAAAACCATGAACTAGACAATCATCAAGCACCAATTTAAACGTAAGTATAGACCAGTCTTTTCCAACGTGGGGCCCCGGACCCACAGGGGGGCCATTTGATGGTTAAAGGGGGGGGGG